TGAGACCGATGGGAGCCTCTGTTTGCTTGATCTGCTCCCCTGAAGATGATTGGTCGGTTCAGTCATCGTATTTCTGCAAACACGATTTCAAAGTTCAGCAAAGGTGTGGGAGGACTTTCAGCTTTTCCTCAACTGTTGGAAAACAAGCTTCCTTCACCTCCGGGGTGTCAGCTGATCAGTCCCCGCACCGACCAACCAGAGCTCTGCATGCCAAGCTGGTGCTGCTCTGACATTCACCCAGCAACACACACACAGACATACTCGTTCTGCTATATGTAGTGAGGACCGTGAGTTGAGTCTTATTGACTTCCAGTCATTTTAAACCCTTTCTATGCCCTGACCCTTAAACTAAACCTAAACCTAAGCATGATGACCGGCAAAATGTCCTCACTTTGCAACAGCTGGTCCTCAATCTGTAGTCAAATTGGAAAAATGGTCCTCACTCTGAGGGCTAGACAGGTACACACACACACACACACACCCATACTCGTTCTGCTATTGAAGTGAGGACCATGTGTTGACTCCCATTGACTCCCATTGATTTTCAGTCATTTTTAACCCTTTCTATGCCCTAAACCTAACCATTACCAATGCATACTTCAGCCTAACCAATTGACACCTAAACCTAACCATTAGCAGAATAGTATTAGATGGTGAAATTGGAAAAATGGTCCTCACTCTGAGGGCTAGACAGGTGTACACACACACACACCAGTGAGATTTCACTGCCTCACTCAGCAAACTATAAATAACAACTTGGTTTAGAGTCATTTTGTCCCATTAAGCATCCAGACCCTTAGTTTTAATCACACCAACAGAGATACAGACAGAAAAACTCAGTGTGGGGGCTTCATAGGTTCATGACGATGCATAAAATTAGATCTGCCCCCCCCTCTAAACTCTCTGTCAGCTGTTGTCTTCTCTCTGACTGCTAACTCATTCCCTGCACCAGTTGCTCTATCATGAACCTAACAGGTTTGAACCACTTCAATGGCAGCTGGTTTACTTTTGCTTTGTCATCTGGACTCCCACTATGATTCTGCTGCCTGAGTTTAGTTTGGGATCTCCTACTATACTGCCAGTGATGGAGGCCATGCACATGTAAAACAGGCCTGGTTCCCCCCAGCATGCCGTAAGCCCCTTACCTGCCTGTGCTTTCCTCTGTTGATTGAACCAAATGTCTTAATCCAGCAGGAGGAAGATCCCGATGCTGTCAAACCGCTCTGTGACCCGAGGCCTGCTGGTCATGACGGCTGCAGGCTGCCTGATGAGCTGAGAAACACTTTTACACATGTATGGATGTGTGTGTGAGTGTGTGTACTTGCTCATGGGTGTGTTGAAAGGGTTAGGAGGGAATCTGAGGCGGGGGGGGGGGGGCACGAGGAGGGGACAGTGAGGCTCAGAGAAAGGAGCAAAATACAGATTTCAGTGTCAAGAAAAAAATATTAAAGGAATTTAATTCATCAGCACTTAAAACAATTACAAAAAAGTTTTTTTATGTTATCAGTTATTTATTCTTTCAAAGGTAAATATTACATTAAAACATCAGAAGATGTAAATGAACTTAAATGTGTGTTCAGGGTGTCATGGCCGATGATTGGATGAAGAAGTTTATCCAGGACAGCGAGACAGAAAACCTGCGCCTGGTGCCACGGAGTCGTCTGTGGAAACATAAAACTTCCAGAGACGGACACATGGAGGGAGTGGGAGCCTGATACCGTCTTACAGGGGAGGGGGCCACCTCTTATGTCCAACCAGTGGAAAAGCAGCTTCACTGCTGATATAAAGCATGAGCCAACAGCGGAAGCATAAGGCTGAGGGCTAAATGTCATTATTACAAACTGAGAACCTGGATGCTAGTAAAAAATGTTGAGGTATGTCTGTTTTTAGCCTCACAGGCTCCAAACAAAGGTCATGAGAGAAAAGAATGAGTTCTGCTACGTTCAGACCTAAAGCAGCAGAGACAGCAGGAACAGCTAGTTTATATGCAAAGTCAATGGTTGATGCACATCAAGGCGCAGCAAAAGGTCCTGCAGCGCGTCAGGTGCTCAGACGCTCGCGATGCCCTGCAAAAGCAGCAGCTGCTGGAGTTGAAAAAATAAATTTTTGCTGCTTGACGTGCCACATCAACCAATCAGAGAAGCTGATCTGGGAGCTGGCAGGGAGACTGGCACAGCACTGCTGATGCAGATCGCTATGATCACTCCTCTAAAACAGTTTAATAACACCTTAATTACCTTAAAATGCTGAAACCTGCCGGCAAAACATGTTACCTATTATTATCCAAGTTGCCTGCAGTTTGGATTCCGTACATGAAAAACGCCTCCCTGCCGCCACGGAAAACCTCAAAGAGAAGACCAGGCCAGAGGCTGCTGTTGAACAGCATTCCTAGTGACAGCACAGTGCTAGTGTACGGGGGTCTGAGTGGCTCCCACAGAAATAATATTTGAAGGCAGGATGGTAATCTAGACGAACTGCACAGATTAAGTTTTTAGGTGGAATTTCTCACTGAAAAACATGTTAAAATTTTACCCACTGATCACGGCAAATACAGCTGCCATTGTTACAGGCAAAGAAAGGATAAGGTAGCTCGGCCNGTCATTAAAAACTCTTATTAAAGCAGATTCTGTACTATGAAGAGTTTTAAAGCCTGACTGAAAAACCTCCAGAATGCCATTGTCATCTAAAAACTGTGTCAGCTGACAGTACACAATTTTCTCTAAAACCTTAGAAAGAAAAGGCAGCTTCTTTTCATGAGAGAAAAGAATGAGTTCTGCTACGTTCAGATCAAAAGCAGCAGAGACAGCAGGAGCAGCTAGTTTATATGCAAAGTCAATGGTTGACGCGCATCAAGGCACAGCAAAAGGTCCTGCAGCGCGTCAGGTGCTCAGACGCTTGCGATGCCCTGCAAAAGCAGCAGCTGCTGGAGTTGAAAAATTTTACTTTTGCTGCTTGACGCACCGCATCAACCAATCAGAGAAGCTGATCTGGGAGTTGGCAGGGAGACGGACACAGCTCTGCTGATGCAGATCACTATGATCACTCCTCTAAAACAGTTTAATAACACCTTACTTAACTTAAAATGCTGAAATCTGCCGGCAAAACATGTTACCTATTATTATCCCAGTTGCCTGCAGTTTGGATTCCGTACATGAAAAACGCCTCCCTGCTGCCACAGCAAACCGTGAGGAGGCGACCGGGCCAGAGGCTGCTGTTGAACAGCATTCCTAGTGACAGCACAGTGCTATTGTACGGGGGTCTGAGTGGCTCCCACAGAAATATTATTTGAAGGCAGCATGGTAATCTAGACGAACTGCACAGATTAAGTTTTTAGGTGGACTTTCTCACTGAAAAACATGTTAAAATTTTACCCACTGATCACGGCAAATACAGCTGCCATTGTTACAGGCAAAGAAAGGATAAGGTAGCTCGGCCCAATGCGCATCAGACCCACTTTTTTTCACTGTGCAGCCAGAGCAGCAAAGATGCTTCAGCAGCGCGTCAGAACTAAACTGGTACAAGCATCAAAAATGAAGCAGCACGCGCATTTCTGCTGCTCCTGCTGCTTTAGGTGTGAACGTGGCATTACACATCCTTCTTCATGGCATGAAGGGGAGGACTGGTATTTTGAGAAGATCAATCTGGCCAAGATATATTAACCCAGAGGGAACGGCCTTGATGAACTCAAGTTGTCTTTCCTCCAAATGTTCAAGTGTGAGAAAGTTCTTTATGCAGGGGGTGGGTTGGTTCCCCTGGGATTTTGTAAGGTATAAATGTAAGTGCTGAGGTTGCCTCAGTCCGAGCTCTATCTCTCCGTCTGAGGACGTTAAATACATTTGAACCTTTTGTCTTGCAAGATATGCCTCTGTCTCTGCTTCCTAACTGCACAAGCAATACATAAAAAACACTTAAATAGCCTTTCGAACGTTACTGTGACTGCTCTGAGCATGTCCGATGATGACGTCACGCAATACTATGGAGAGAATGTAAAACAATTTAATTTCTTTAACAAGTCTTCAATATTTTCTATACGATGTAGTTTAGCATTCTTTAATATTTTAAGTATATAAATAGATATTTTTAGATGATTAGATGACGATGTAACTCTGAGAAGAAGCCATTTCTCAGCTCTGTCACTAGCTTCATCTCCTGGAACTTCAACCTCCCGTTCCTGTCGGTGCAGAAACATTTTGTGTCTGTGTTGGAGTAGCATTTTGAACCCCTCAAAATGCATAAAATAATGACTTACATCTTGAACAAGATTAATACTTTATTTGGTACCATTCTGTTTTTTGTTTTGATGTTAAAATGCTGATATAAAAGTGGAAGTTTAACCTTTAAAGTATCAGATAAACTAGTTGAAACTTGTCCTTAATCATGTTTGCATTCGTCTTCATCAGTCAAATAGGGACGACTGTGAACATTAAAAATCTTTTTAGCCCCAATGGTTAATGTAGCAGCTACCTTCAGGCAGCAGCAAGTGTTACTGGAGAACACATCAGGTTTGTTTGAGTTTGAACGGGAAAAAAATCACAAGAAGCAGCAAAACATTTCAAGATATTTATTGTCGTTCCTTTCTTTGTGTAAATAAAAATGGAAATCTCAAGTCAATTCAAAGAGGAAGGGGGTACAGTATACAACACAAACATTGGTCCAGTGCAATAACAATGTTACAGAATATATATATATATATATATTCATGGAATACAACCATAATTAAGCTAACACTTGAATTTTGTAACCTGAAAAGGGTAAATAAATCAATTTTTGATAAAAAAGCAGCCAATATATAACTATAAAACTGTTATTGTTTTGCATTTAATGGAGATTATTTTGGTTCGTTAATGAGCAAAGATTACCTTTAAAGGTGCATAGTCACGTTACTTGACCGTTTTGTATACGTTGGTAATTCACTCTTGTTTAAATACAATGTTTTCTGAAAGAACATCATGTTTTTTTACTTGTTTTTGCAAAGTTTGTTAGTAAATTAACCCCTTATGTACCAACAAGGTATGAAGCTTTGCATGTGAAAAGGGGGTAAAAAAGTAAGTAGACTACTGCAGTTTAGCCAGTTAGAAACTCCCAAGAATGTGTGGAAATAATGAAGGAAAATCCAAGATCCACTGTGAAAAAATATGAAAAAAGATAAAAAACCGTCTAAACATTGGTGTTAACTGAAAAAGACCTAAAGGCGTTCAGATGCAGCTGCTAAAGTTCATTAAAACTGATGCTATTGATATAGCAATGACATTGTCCAAACCAAAGTCTACATAGATAGACCGATTGGTTCTTAGCTTTATGTTTCTCCGTTTGTGTTTGTTGTGAACAGGAATTTTCTTCCTGCTTTCAGCTCTGAGGTGGATTCACTAGAACAGAGATGCTGTAGATCAGTTAACTTAACAAACATCAGTTGGTCTTTGACCACAGCCAGCTGTTTTTTTTTTATGTGATTCACTGCAGGACAGTCAAACTTTGTTTAGTAGTTTCTTTCTGGCTTTCTGATAGCCAGAAGGAGACTACGCCAGCAGATGGCGCCACCTCTTTTAATATCTGTGCATCACACCTGATGCTGGAATTCTATTTAGGCACATAAATGATTATCTAAAAGCTATCAGGACGGAGGCTGGGTGAATATAACTTCATTTTTAATCAGGATGAGCTAAAGCTTGGTCTTCTATTCATTTTTTACAGATATATATAACATGACTATGCACCTTTTATGTGTCAATAATGAAACATTACTAAGTGTAATTACTGTTTCGGTCAGTCTGACAGATCTTCCCTCTAATTCTAAAAACCTAAGACATATTTGAACTTTTTTGGAATATTAGCAATGATAACCAACCTCGATTATGTGACACTTAACACTTCCTTAAAGCCACCATCTACCACTCTAACTCCATCCCTTCTTGCTTAAGACATTTTATGTTTCTAGTCTACCTCACTCTGGCCCATAAACAACCACAACGTTTCAACATTCATTCCTTAAGACTATACAGCATATTATCCCCCGTGGGTCCTCACCTCCTGTTATATTAAACTGTTAGGGGAGCGGATTCAATGTTTACTAAGAAAACAAGCTCACCAACCTTTTAAAAGATTCCCATTGTCAGTAAAGTTTGTAAAGACTCTTTCATTTTGTCTGACAGCTCTTTGTTCAGTTACAAAGTTCTGGAAAAAAAGGCCAACTACATTTTAAGGAACGGATTGAAAATCTGCTCTAAAAGCAGTAAAGGACTCAAGACTCAGATGGTACAGAGTTGAGCAGGGAAGGAAAAGTGTCAGA